CCCCAAAACCCCAAAACCCCAAAACCCCAACTGGAAAATTAAGTTAGAAATTCGAAGTTCAATAAATAAATATAAGTTATATAATCTAGCCAATCATATTTAGTGTTGAATTCTATTTCTGATTAAGCCTTACTTAATGTCCAAATTCATCTATTTCTAGTTTTATTCAAAGCAATTTATAGAGGAATCCAGGAATGATCCCTTATTCAACACAAGTACCCGAACTTAATCTTGTTGATTTAATCTTGAATATGTTCATATCAGGATTTCTTATTTATTAGTAATATCTTCCTTGGTCAGAATAGAAGGAATATTAATAAGAAGTTCTCTGCATATAGGTCAATCTTTAGCCTGCCTTCACTACAATTCCATGTGGAAAGGTTTAGAACTTATATTTGAAAACGTGCATTTCATCTACATCATCATATGTATAACTTCCATTTTCTTTGACAACTTACGGCTTTAATTTGACATTTCCTTATTTATCCTTAATGTAGATTGTGTACTATATACCGAATTCTCCTGGATCTTAATTAGAGGCTTCAAATAGTCCGATTCCAAGAAATATAAAGTCAACTTTGCAAGTAATAATGATACCGTCATCCCCTTCAACTGATTTCCATTATTATTCTTTGTTGAAATCAGGGAATCTTAGAAAGAATCTAATTGGTTTTTAATCTTGATTACATTTATCCTTTATTCCAAAGAAAAGTAGCTTTTATCCATCTTTTATATTGGCTGCTCTAAATGTTTTCCGCTAATCTAATTCTCTATTATTGTAAATAACTTTGATTTTGCATTCATGTAGCTTTTATAGTTGCTCGACGATTGATAAAATTTGATCTGATATTTTTACTCTATGAATTTATTCTGATTCTTCTTAATCTATTACACATACTGTATTGACTGTGATCATAAACTTAAAGTCATTTTAGTCAACACTAACAATTTTACTTTTCTATGTAGATCCATCAATATTGGTCTGATTCTCAACAGGATATTAAATAGTGGAGCATGACCAAGTTGTATTAATTTTAGGAGGATTGAGTTGTTAAGTATCATATTTATCTTACTAAATCCTCTTATCTAATTTAACGTATCCATATTCATCTGTATAAACTACTTTGTTAGATCTTAACTACTGAAAGTTGAGCATTTTCTAGATCAATATATCATCATCTCTTCTCCAATTAGTTATTTTTATCTTGTTAATTATCTCTTTTTCTAATGTTTCATTGTATCTAGCTACGGGGAGTTAATCAATATTTCCTTCATCTCTCCATGCTATTGGAAGCTTCGAAAAATTTCCTATTTTCAATGTGCTTATGATTTGAATGTCTTGATTGATGATTTCTTTAATCTCCATTTGATAAAAATGTAAAACTTATAACTTCGAAGTCAATAATTTAATTTATTACATATTATCTCATATTCTTTTTAATTTTCTTCATAATGGGGTTTTGGGGTTTTGGGGTTTTGGGG